AAAAAGTAATTCACATATCGCGCTTCAAGTAAACTGATACAAATAAAGTGTTTTAAGTAAAGTTATTTCCTAATTTTAGGCTAATTTTTCAACTGAATGAAGCATCCGTGAATTTATTTTTGATCATTGAACAAACCCCAAAGAAGATGATTTCGGTCAGATTGAAAAAAGCTTGGAAGAGTCGTTGGATGTTCTATTGTTTGACCGAAATGCCCGAAAAATTCAGCACCAAGAAAAAAACTCCAAATTAAAGGAAGTGAAGGAAAAATAAAAGAAAAAGGTGAAAAAAAAAAAGGTTTACAAAACTTCTTTTCTGTCATCCTCTTTCCATTTCCACCCACGCGCATCCAGAAATTTGTGAAATATGTGAATTACCTCATACTTAATGAACTGTACTTTTTTGAGCAAATTATCGATGAGTTATGCGGTTCCACCGTTTTTTGCTAACATTCAAAAAACACTTCAGAGTAATTGCTGCCTCTTTTTTTGTTTCGAATTTTTTTTTAAAACGGCCATAAAATTAAGTTAATCTTGTTTGCTATAATTTGGTAACTTAAATATTTGAGTGCTTCAATTTTGTGGAAGCCCGAAAAACTATAAAATTTTAGCAATTACTTATCTATGTGTAGCAAAAAATACTAATAATATCAAAACTATGAGATTGTTTTTGTGGATATTTCATGTTAAAGTTGTTATAAAGATGCTCCCAAGCGCAGGGCTCAGCTACACTAGATTCTTCGATTCTTGGCAGCATACCTCCAACTAGGACCCAACTACTGTTTATACGCCACCACTTTGGAAATCATCCGAACGCTTTCTTTTTCACGGGTGAGCGACGACCACAGTTGACAGTGTGGTAACCGCGAGAAAGAAAACAGCTGCTTAGTGAATAATAACTAAGCATTACAAAAAAAGATAAAAGCAGAAATATCATCAGTGCTGTGGAAGTCATACTAACCGTTAACGTGGGATATTACACCGAAAGTATGGTTATTCTTGATAGTAAAATTACGAGTTAAATGAAAAAATATATATAAAAAAAAACAAAAATTAATGAATCAGGAAAATTTCTGTTTAATAATAGCGAAAAAGAAATTTGTCCGCATCTTTGCTACTTCAAATAATATTCGTATTAAATCGGTGGAAAAATCTTCGCCTAATAAAACCAATAACAATGCTGACTGGTTTTGCCTTTCTTGG